ATTTAACAATTATTTGATGTAAGAAGCTGTCTCACTTGCTCAAATGTTTTTTTAATAGGAAAAAGAGGATTAATATTTGAGTCACTCTTTCAAAGAAAAATCTAAATTAATTCTGAAGACAATGATGTTGGATTATATGGTGAATTTTACTATGTTTTAATTTCAATAAACTTGCTTATAGTATTTACATTATAAGTATATTCTAACAATTTTGTCACTTATATTGAACCATTATAAACAAGATTTGTTCATTGCTTTTGAACACAAGATGAGTTAATAATTTAGGAAAATTACATTCTTTGCATTAGTTTGAAAGAATAAGTTATTTAATTTAAGCAGGAAGTTGCTTAAGCAATGTTGAATATGTTTATTAGGGTCAAAGGCATATGAATGTAAAATAAATTCGCTATCTACATTCTAAGGAAAAATATTTTAATGTTATATTGTACCTATACAAAAATACCATGCCAGATATCATTTTATGGAAAAAGTAGGAAAACTTCATGACCACATTGTGTTCTATGAAATAAAGGGAAGGAAACATTAACATCAGCGCCATCCCCTAAAACTTTCAAATTAATATCTAAAGAAATATCAATAAAAGTTTGAGAAATGTGATGTTGCATCAAGTCATTGTAAGTTTACATATTATGTTTTTATTTTCTTGATTTATGTATTTTGAACAGATTGGATGTTGATTATTTGTCATTATAAATATTTTGTAAACTGATGTGTTGAATATTACAAATGTATGTAGAGAAATTTATAATTTTAGTTAATATTTAAAATCATTTGATTAACTTCCAACATAAACCATGTATGCTGAGTTCTTTTTTTTTTTGGCTTAATTTTTTTCAGCATTTGAAGGAATACTTGAGGAATTATCAGGAGATAGTGATAGCAAACTGGAAACACAACTTGATCAACCAAAAATTGGTGAGTTTATAATTTACAGAGACGTGAGTAAATATTATTTTAGCTACTTCCATTCTTGATAATGACATAATTAATGTTGAAATATTGAATCCCAACATGATGGCTTGCATTGACTAAAAAGAAGCAAGGAAGTAGTACATTTTTTGAAAAGTATTTCAAAATTTTCCAACAATAAAAGCCAAACTACTTGCCCTACTGGTTGCCTATATGACCTGATAATGAAGATGGCATCTCAATATCACAATATTTACATAAGATAACCATATCTTTTCAATTATGAGTGTGTGTTATTGCTTAGGAACCTTCATTATTGGTCAGCTGACGACATAAACAAACAAATGTGGTTGATTAATAATTCAGGTAGAACCCTTAATACAGATGAAATCTCTATCTCAGAAAAGTGACTGAATTTTTTCATTAACACCCCCCCCTTCCACCCACATGGAATCCTCCAAATTACATTTTTGTGAAAACCAAAACTATATGCTGAAAAATTACCCCAGCTAAAGCTTAAAACCTCCGGACTGAAAAGAAATAAAATAAAAAGAAACCTAAAGTAATATAATAAAACAGGAATTGGTGCACTAATCAGCCTTGAACATGACAAAAACATACTGAACACTCGCCTGCCAGTCAAAAATGATGAATCTTCTCAAAGATGAGAATAGACCTAAAATATATCAAATTTGAAAAAGATCCTACAACTAGCTACAATAGAGAAATAGTGAGTATCATCAGTAGATGCAAAAATGTTGACCCTATTCCCAAAATTACAAAATATATCCTACTACAGAAGTAGATGTACCAAAGATTTGTGTTACACCTAAAATACAAACTATAACACCTTCATAAGCCCATTGTGTCTGGCAGGGGCAGTTTGACCACCATTTTAAGTCCATTGGGTAGGCAGTAAATCGATCATATCGTATCAAAAATATAGCCAAAATTTTACACAAACATATTCAAATACTGTATTTCTCCTAACCAGAAGATAATTTCTTATGATGTACAAGCTTTTTAATGAGCATTCTGGTACTGGACCCTTTACAGTTAATAGTAGGTTGGCCCAGGAAATAACTTAAATATTGCACCTTTAGAATTACTCAGACTTTAACTCGTAACTTGTATTTCAAATACCACTTACTTTTTATACATGGACTCATGGTACTGCTGCAATGGAATCTCTTGTTTCCCCAATAATTGTCAAATGTTTATTTAAGAGTTTAAAAATAATGCATTAACTTCACTTCTTCACTCCCCTCATATGTTGATGAAACTTTTGTAATAATACACAAATTTCACATTAAGTAGTTCACATCAATAGCATAGACACTAATAATAAATTCAATTAAAAAGTTGAACCAGGAGGTGAACTCACTTTAAAATTCCATATAGTCAGATATAGTAAAGTAAAAGGATACTAAAACTTACTGAGACGAATCAAATTATAGTAGTTATAGCAGGCTTTTCTACTGTGACATTCATAATCGATTAATTAAATGCATGCTGATGAAGACAATAGACACTACAGGCCCCTCTGAAAATGTAAATATCT